AGACTTTGTCAGCGGAAGCAAACCATGTTGCCTTCAGTATTTAGTGTCGGAGAACCGCAGCCTTCTTTACAACGCCCACAATAGGGCTAAAGCGCCACCTGCTGTAAAACGAATGAAATTCAAATTTCGTTCACGAGTCGTTCATTTTACTGTTTGAGAGTCAAAGAATAAAAAGAGTTGGTCTTCACATCACTAGTGTGCAATTGCTGCGAGTCAGTCAGTTTGATTGACACATCACTCAGCCTGTCAGCTACCGCCTTATCCATGAAGAGAGCTATCATTGCTGTGGACTGCACTGATAGTCGTGCCCATAGACAGCCAGGCACATAAAATAGTTTATTTTCAATTAAGTAATGTCGACTGAAAAAGTGGGACAAAATGTTAAATTAGCGTGACAAAGGCTGAGAAATTGTTGTGCAATACAACGTAAAACGGGACAGGTGTTCACTTTAGTTGCAAGTCTCTCTACGTCAGCTTGACTTCCGACCCGAGTCTGGCTAGAAGTCATGTGACTCCGGTACACACCCCTGGCCCTTTCAATTTGCTGCACACACCTTTAGCTCATGAGTTTTGAAGTCACATGTGATTTCTTTGTTAAGATTTAGTATTTGAATTAAAAATACAGTGAAACAATTCCAGATTTTTATTCAAATTTCAGCTGTTTCTTTTCTGAGAAAAAACATTGTGTTTAAATGAACCCAGACAGAAAAAAACTTACCCTTTGATAAAGATATAAACAGAAAAATAAATACTTAACACAAAACTTTTGAGTCTGAGCCATAAAACACGGAGATTACAATCTTTATAAAACAAAAAACAACAAAAAACAAAAACAAATGCTATAAATGATGCTTGTGAGACTTTTCTACTTGTTGTACCAGTGTCTTTTAAGTGAAAATAGTGGCAAAGAATTTTCCCAGCTCAAATGTTGATTTTGTCATGAATTCGTTGAAGTCATGACTTTTGACATTGCACATCACCCTAAACTGAGAACAGCTCCATTGGTGCAGTTAGAAAACAAGACAAAACATTGACATGAAGATGTACATTATATAAAAAAAGGTTAGAGTTGAATCAGTGCTTTTACTTTTTTTTAAACAATTACAATAAGACATTAAAGCTGTGTTTAGTTTGATTGGTCAATTGGCCTAACCTCTGACCCACTAAAGCAAGTCTCCACCCATCAAGAAATGGCTTTTCTTAAATAAAATTATTTTTTTCTTAATGTGAAAGATTCTTGGTTTAAAAAAACAGTGTCCAGGAAAACTGAGCAACCCTTACAGTGACTTATACAACTAAAAGTATTCAAATTAAACAAAGATGACCTTACTTTAACAAATGTATATCAATTGTAATTTGAATTTAGATTTCCTCTTTTAATTTGATAGATTGAAGGAAACTGTGAAAACATAATTCTTTTACATGAAATACTGTTTGTTCAGGACAGAAGTAAATTATATTTAGAAGACAATGCACAGACATGGGTGCAGAAAAGATTCTCTCGACCTTTAAGTTTTTTCATTAAATCTGTGTGACCAGAGGAGTGTTGATGTCCGCAGCTTCACATACTGTCGGTTTCTGCAAAGCTGTTGTCAGGGAGTAGCAGCACGCTCATGTGAAGGCAGGTGTTGACGCAACTCCTTTCAAGAATTTCATACTAAAAGAAATGAGAAAATAAGACCACATGAGAAAGATGTTTTGTAAACAATTTTGTAAAGAAACAAAACTAAACACTGGAGTGTACCTAGTTTATTGTTAAAAATGTAACTAAATGCTGTGATTTTGTAAAACATCAAAAAACAGTGATCACTGTGAAAATGTTTCATAAAGAAAAAAAAAGGTTAATTTAAAACACTGAATTATTTGAAAACATAACATCTAAAAAACTGTTGTCTCCCAGCACACCTTGCTGCATGGTGCTCTCTGGACAGGGCTGGTTGTGTCTGTAGGACAGGATGAAGCAGGACGACTGATGCCACCAGTAGAACATGAGCAGCAGCAGCAGATGGAAGAGCTGGTGACTTGAGCCCACGTAGTTTAGCTGACCTACAGTGTCAACATCCCAGGGTAACATACACATTTGACAGGCTGTTAAAAACCATTATCATGCAGTAAAATTTAAGAAAAATAAAAATGTTTTAGTCTACCCCTGACTATGATGGAGTATTATATGAAAAAATACAAGAATAAAGCTGTAAGTATATGAGAGAAGTTGTACGTTTATAAGAGTAAAGTTACTAGTATACAAAAATAAAGTTGTAAATTTACATGATGAAGTTGTAAGTATATGAGAATAATGCAATAAATTACCAAGATTGAGTTGTTGGTTTAAAATCTAAAGTAAATGTTTTTCTCGTAACATTATGACTTTACTCTCAAAATTTATGACTTTATTCTCATAAATTTAGAACTTAATTCACATACAGTATATTATGACTTTATTTTTATAAGTTTGTGACTTTATTCTCATAAACGTACAACTTTATCTTCATAATTTTACGACTTCATTCTTAGAAAAGCATTACTTAATTCTCATATATGTAAGACTATTTTCGTAAGCATTCTCAATGTGGCTGTAAAACTACGTCACAACATACAGGCTTACATAATTAACATTAGAAAAGTACCAGTGTGAAAGTGTGAAATAAAGAAACAAGTCTGACCTGGAAAATATCTCTCAGGAACTTTGGAAACGTAGAAAATCAGTGCTAACGTTGCAAGGAAATACATCCCCATGATACGGGGAACAAAAGCCTGAGAAAAAATGAATTAAAAACAACTATCAACTACACCATCAAACCTAAAAACAAGTTGCTTACTCTTTAACCATTGTGCGGTCCTTCGGGTCTAGGTGAGTATGTGTGCTATGCATGTTCTTGTACTGCACGACTTGTGCCAACTTTTCCTCATATTCATTAATATTCATATTCTGGGACAAGATGAAAATCATTGCAAGGACAAACAGTGTGTACAAAAATGCCAAGGATAACGGGAGAGTTAAAGCTCTATTAAGCTCAACTAATGCCATAGTTCTGGTCTCACCTGGACCAGCTCCGAGGAGAACCCTCCTGTGATGCAGATCCAGTGGATGGTGGGCACCAGGCCGTAGCAGGATACTGAGCAGAAGATGAGTGAGCGAAGCTGCTTCCACTGCTTACTGAGGTAGTGAGGGTGAATCTGAGCAAAGAAGACAGCCAGGATCATGGCCAAAACCGTCACCAGGTAGACCTGCCTCCAGTACTGAAGACACACCAGGATTGAAGGTTAGATCATAAGAAATTACACACACAATCAATAGTTTAACTTGACCTGTTTCTAAGGAGCAAAAGTACAATGAGAATCTGAACCATATTTCAGCATAATTTAAATGTCAAATACCAATTACTAGAACAATCTATTGCAGTACAATCTGCAATTGCAAGTTGAGTATTACGGTACGCTAGAAATGTGATGTAACGTGTGATTAAATTCATTATAAGTAATTTCTTCTGTAACTAATTCATCACAATTAATGCCGTAAGTCCCAGTCAAGGTTGATATTGCTGGCCATTCTCTAATAAAAAGACACTCAGCAAAGAACTTTCTCTGCGAAAGACATAATCAAGGAAAATTCTTAAAAAAAAAACAAAAAACGTAGAGTTTAATTATTCAAATTCTACACTTTCAGTTGTATTTTTCAAAGTGTAAAATCTTCAGACTTGATATTTAAAGTGTTAAAGTCTGGACAGACTTGTCTCTGTCCCTTCTGTCCACTTCTTCGTGGTTTCAGGCCTGGGTCCAGTCACACGTCCTCATGTGTTGAGTCCTGCAGAATTTCACAGTGAATAAATTTGCACCAGGAACGAGGCCTCGCGCTAAGCGGCAGCCAAATTTTCCCAAAGCTCTGCTCCGAAATTTAACAGACACCGTGTTCTAGTTCCCCATGACTCTATGACGGAGAAGACCAAGTTAGATTTTTCTAAATATATAAAAAAACAGTTTATCTTCAGGGACTTGGCGTCCTGTAGGAGAGCAGCCACACAGCAGCAGGGCCCCAGTCTTGGCAGGGACGCGAGCACTCCCCACCCCCCATCAGACGTGCAGGCGTCATATGGTGGGGAACAGGAGTGAGGGACCGCACCGTGAACGCAGCCATCTGGTTTGAGCTGGAGCAGATTTTAGCCGCGTTCTGGGGCAAAATAACCCATCGCTTCCAATATGCGGGGGAAACCAAGCGCTGAGGAGCGCAGCCAAACTCTTCAGAATGAAAAAAGATGGTGGTGGGTGGCTGGAATCAGGAACTGAAACTAGCTACTGTGTGCGCGTGTGTGTGTGTTTGTCATCAGAGGCTGGTTTCCAAACAGCAAGAGCTGTGGCGGTGGTGAAGGTGTCGTGTCGCTTATTCACCAGGAACAATGAGTCAATGAGCAAAGCCAGACGGTGGCGCCGCTTCAGCTTTAATCAATTACTGCTGCTCTGAGGCTCCAGAGTCTCAAGAGACCATGATGTTCAAGTTTCTTTACACTGACAGTAAAACAGAAAGTGTTTTGCTGAACATGTTAAATATGTTATATATGATTTTGAGTGTTCTTTCATCACAAATAAAAACAAATAAATAAAATAATAGATAAATAAATATAAAACAAAACAAAATAATAAATATAAACATATGTAAAGTTATCTGGCAGTCCCCTGTAGTTGACATCTTTGACACCTGTAACTATGCGGAACTAACTGTGGACAACTACGACCTCATGCCTCATATGAACTACACTGATTGGCTATGAAATCAGCTATTATGTTTGCTGCTACATACTATTATGTCTCTCATTGTTTTTAATTTTTTATTGAGGGAGGAAATCCATTCAGTGTCTTTCATAAAGTTCAAAATGTTCTATTATCTGTGTCTCTTTTCTAGTCTTGTTTTGGATATTGTTTTTTTTATTAATTAATTAATTAATTAATAATTAATGGTATTATTTGACAGTTTCTGCCCTTACTATGGATAACCAAAGTCCAATCATTATGAAACTAACTGAATACAGATAAAAAACAACAGACTTACGTTGTTGCAGTAAAAAGTGTAGAAGACTCCAGGAACATAACAGCCAAGAATACCAATGGACACCCCAGCATAGTCCAGCGCCATCCAGCGACGGCTGGTTTTCTCTGAGCGATGACAGCAGAAGAGGTGGTGACCCACTGAGCACAGTAGACACAGCTGAAAGACAGAAACATCATAGCATTACAGTAATATATAATCTTTCAAATCTACTTCCGAGCAAAATTTGGACAGTAAATGTGTATCTATTAATACTAGACTACACAGTGTGTTATGCTACGATTCACTATATTAAAATATTGTTTTAAAAAAACAAAACCTGGTTGCCCTGGCAAAATTAAGTATTTGACGTACACACTTTATAATAAGAGTTAAAGAAATGGATGCACAGATCCCACAAAATTAAGTAGTAATTCTTGTGACCACAGATCTATGTACTTATTTGTTGAACTTGATGAACTGTTATGGCAAACAAAACTCAAACTATTAAAACCCATGAGTAGTATCTGACATGAAGAAGAGGCTGTAGGGTACCTGGAAACAGAATAGTTCAATGGAGTAGATGACATAGTCTTCTTTGGAAGCCTCGACTGTCGGCAGTACACAGGCCATGTTGTAAACACCCAGACACAAAAACAGTAAGAAGCCTACCAGGTGGCTCCAGATGCTCACTGTTTCATTTGACAGGATAAAAAGGCTGTGAACAGGATTTAAACATGTTTATATTAATGAGAATTAATTCAGTAGAGACAAATCAATAATCAAAACACAAATCATCTATTTTTTTCTAAGAGCAAAACTTACAGTTTTAAAAAATAATTAAAATCAAAACTATATTCCAATTAATAAAATTGAGGATTTATTTTAAAAATTAAATCACACACTGAGTAAGCATTTTGACAGCTACAGGAAAAAAAAAAGACTACCTTTCAACATCATTATACTGCCACACCAGTTTCACATATTAGCATTTTATTAGCAATTTGGCACGTGTTTCGCCAATATAATTTATATCATTAGTTTTGTTAATTCAAAGTTATTTTAGTCATTCTTTAGGGATTAGGGACAACAATTCTCTGGACATGGTAAGCAATAAAAACTTGAAGTATATTACTTTTGATGCTTGTTTTAGCATTTAAACGTATTATGATGACAATTATTGTCTTTACCTTTTGATGCAGAGTCTGGAGGGCAGATATGCTCGGTACCCATCTGTTATGTAGGGGTTTTCTCTCAGAAACATTGGGATCTGTTCATATGTGTACAGCCTGATACCCCGGGGAACCAGAACAGGCCAGTACTGATAACCTCCAAGTTCAATGTAATGTGCTGTTGGTCCATTCCTTTGCAGCTTATGAGACATGGCTGAACTAGGGGAGTCAGCTTTAGTGTGACCTGAAGCTGAAAAGTCACAACCATATTGGTCACTCAAAAACCTAAAACAGGTCCATCACAACACAAGAGCAGTGACAGATTGTGTTGTTTTTCTTTTGTCTGTTTTTTGATAACATAAATAGGTAAAGCCTGCTCTTTATCCTTAATTTCCTGAAGCAAATTCCCAAGGGGTTAATAAAGTTCTATCTTTTTTCTATGTATCTATCTACCTGTCTGTCTGTCTGTCTGTCTATCTTATTTAGCTTCTCCTTTTCATTGGTATGTATTAGTCAAAGACACTGTCCCCAAACATATCTTTCCTTTTTTTAGTATTTATAAGCACCAAAATAAATATCCATAAAATTTGTTTGGGCACATGTTACTTATGATATTCATTATGAAACACTGCAAAACCCATCAATACTTTATCAATGCTAAAACCTATTTTATTTGGGTTCAATCAGAAACATAAAATATGTAATACTCTAAAACATGTAACCAATATCATAAAAGTAAAAAACAAAACAACATTATATGTTCATATCAATAAAAAGTAATTATGTTACCATGTAAAAAGGTACTTCACGGAAATATGATACTATTAAAGTAAACAGGACCAAAGCAAAACAAACAACAGCTGTAAAAGAAGAAAAATTAAATTATGGTCTTTATTGTCATTGTAACGCGGGGATACAACAAAATTGAGCCTCTGCTTTTAACCCATCACCAAGGTGAGCAGCGGGCAGATTTTTTAAGCGCCCGGGGAGCAGTGTGTGGGGACAGTGCCACGCACCTAAGCAGATAAACTCAAACAACAATATGTCTGCTTAGATTTCCAGTGTTCGCTTAAATTCATAAGGCTCTGCATTTATAGTAAAATTAAAGGCAACAACACCTTAAATTGCTGTGCCACAGAGAGCTCAATAAGTTCAGTCTTTAAGCTGTAACAAAGCCATTATCACGCCCTTCCATTGGCACGAGCTATTTTTGTCACTTGTCTATTTTTCGATTTATTCTGAAAAATGTATAATACCCATATACCATTACACATTTGGACAGAAATTAGTTTCTTTGCGCAACAGTGTCAAAGACAGTTAGTCTAGAAAACGTAAAGTTTTTCTACAGGTTTGGTAACTGGCGGTCGGAGTGACGACTCTGCTACAAGCTAATACGCCTCTATGCATAAAATCTTACCTTTTAGTTTTGTATATGCGTAGTTTGAGTCATAGTGCGATTTAAAATATGGGCTCCGCATTTGTATGGCAGAATTAACACTGACTCAAAAGAAAACACTCTGTTTTTACAAGTTTCTGTGACTACTACTCAACCATTTTCCAAATCGTCAATAACGTCATCGACGTGAAGGACCCCGCTGGTGTAGGTGATTCGGTCACGGAGCGCCTGAGCAAAATTGTAGAAGCAACCAAAGCAAAACAAGACATTTGTATTTATTACTTAACTTAACATGACAAAGGCTGTGTTTAAAGTAAATGTGTTTGAAAGTAAACTTATATTCGCTCGATTGTGTTGCAAAACTATACAGTCTTGGATTTAGTTTTTGTATACACGATGGGTTAAAAAACAGGGGCTCAGCTTCGGTGTATTCCCGTTTTACAACGACGATACAAAATACAAAATAAAGTAACAAATCCACCCGTAGACCCCATAATGAACTCTATTTAAAAAATGTGTATAAATATATGAAATATTCAACTTACATGTTTTCCTGAAGTGTCTAAAGTGTAAACTATATAAAATTGTATAAATTACACCACAAAACATTTGCAAAAAATTAACTTCAAATAAATAAACTTAATTCATCAAAAGTTCTACCTAAAAGTCAACGCATCTTTAAAACCTACTATAAATGCCTATAAAATTGATTAGACATGACCTAAAGCTCACTAGACAAAGACGTTTTTGATCTACTGCTGCCCCCTTGTCTAAATTTATTTATTTGACAGAAGTTTAGTCTATGAAATGATTTGATTGGAGTGACCTTAGTGACACAAACTCATCACACGAAGTAGTATTTAAGATATATCTATATAGATCATATATCATATAGAGAGAAACAGTTTATCCACTGAGATTTGTTAAGTGGCCAAAATCTGGTTTTGTAGTTTAGTTTTCCACTCTACTATATGCTGTCTTTCCAGACAGAAGGCATCATATTAAGATCCATATTAGATTAAGTTATATAAAAGAAAAAGTAAACATGTTTCTATTTGTTTGCTTTTTTTTTAATTGCCCAATGCTCCCAATTCTAAACCCACAGAATTAATTAAGGTGTGGAGTAGACTGCAGCAGCAGGAGAGGCTTGCTGTTTGCCCTTAGACACACACACTCGCACATTACCAGTGTGGATGTGTTGTGTGGAAGTGAATTTGTCGTGATAATGAAGGAGATACTTAAAGTCGACAATAAGGTGATTAAAGCAGGGTGTGAGCTGAAGAGGAACGACTGAGTGTGAATCCTGTGGCGTTTCTATCACACACACACCTGAGGTTTTGATGCTCAAAACCTTTCTCCTGCTGACACAAATTATATGACATGCTGTGGTCTACTTTCAGGCCTATATTAACTAAAACAGGCTGACAGAATCATATGACATAAAACTAATGGGTTTTGAAAGTTTACTTATATGTGTTAATTAATACTTACCACTGAGATGGCACTACTGTTTCTGTGAACATTTCCCAGAATCTTGATATTACCCAATGGTTAATGAGTAGAAAACCAAGATACAAGCATGTAACTTAGACATTTGTAAGGAAATACATCTTAGTGCATGTTTGTTTAGTGAAAACTAACCAAAGGTACAAATAAAGGCAAAAGCTCAAGAAAAAGGTAACAAGTGAACAAAATGTATTTGTGTATAATAACCTACATGTGGTCCCCAAAAATCTCTAGTCCTTCAACTATTCACCAGTCACAATGAATTTTGAACCCAAATTCTTCCTTGTCTAAAGTGAGCAATCAGTTCAAAAATACCCTTTGACTTTGTGAGGATCTGATGAAATATATTCATAGTAATGTTTTAAAACCTTAATTTATCCTCACAGCCTAATAAAAACACATACACACATGTTCACACTTACACACCTCCTCCACCCTCCCTGACTCTTCTCTGATTCACTTTATAGCAACCTGTCTTCAGCTATCCATCTCTCCTTTTAGTCCTCTCCTCAGTTTTTCTTTTTTTTTTTTTTTTTTTTTTTTTGCGTATTTAACTCTGAGTTGTCTTACTGTAAGACATGAGGACTAGAAAATACCACGGGAGTCAAATTCCCTCAAATTTAGTGTTAGTGTGGACACATCTTTATCACTTATGCAACACACTGTTTGGAATGATTATATAGTTCATATATATAAATTACAGTAGGTTTCTGCTCATGTCTTTTTTCTGATGGTTAAATCTTCCCTTGTGTTTTTGTACCTCCTTTTCCTTTTCTTCTCTCATACTTTCACTGCATAATTTCTCACATTTTTGTCTTCATTCATTCTACCATTTTCTACTTCTTTTCCTTTTCTTTTTTTAATCTTTAATCTCATTTCCTTGTCCTTATTCTTTTCTTCAACTTTGTTTCCCACATTCCTCTGTCTTCACAGCAATACAATATAATATTAAATTAAAATAAAAACAGTGAACATGCACAGTATCTCTATCTGTGTTAGATTAGAGAAGAAGGGACCGGAGACTTGTGTTAGGGAGATTAAGCTGCTGATAAAAATGAGATTAACATTTGTAAAGGCAAACTTTTTCTGCAGCGGAAAATCCTCCCGTTTTCATTACCACTCACGCTCACTGAGCTTGTCCACAGGAAGACTGTTGTTATAAACTATTATCTTAATATTCTGATTTTTCCGTTTTCTCATTTAAAACAAAGCTCTTTACCCTGCACATGCACTGATCCTCTTTCTGCAGAAACAAGGTCACTGATTGATTTTTAAAGGAATCTACTTGTCTTCGAAAATACACTGCATATTTTTAGGACACTACCAGCTCTTCACCTGCTTATGAATACTCTAATAGAAAGACAGCTGCAGTTTCCTGACCGAACTAGGTATCACTGCTCTGTCTCTGCAAGTTAAAATCACTGATTTTCCTCTTGTGTGGAGGAGTGCAAACTGCAAAAAGTTTGAAAATGATTTATTTTTTAAATGTGCTAAATCAATTTATTCTGATGTCTTAGCATCTATTCACCATGTTTGAAAAAAAATTATCAAAGGTAATAATTAATTTAAAATCATATTTTTTGTGAAATCAATTGAACTTTATGACAATTATATTGTTAAAGGTTTTGTTTAAATCTATTATAAAATATAGTATTATAAATGTTTGAGTTAATATGAAATAATACAAATTTTCCCTTTATACAGTAAAATGTAAAAAAAAAAAAATTATTCTGAGTCATTTGTTGTTATACCAGGCTGCAGTTCAGACTAATTCCTGTTGAAGGCAGCAGAGGCTCATTGCAGCTGTGTGTCTATAAAGACGCTTAACAGTGTAAATCAATTAATAAAAAACATCAGTGACTGATAAAGTAATCTTATCAAACACACATTACCATCATATTTTCTTCCCCAGACGCATCTGTTTAAATCAAACGTAAAGTATTTGTATTATTTATCTCCATGAACATTTGAAAAATAATTAAAACTATTTTTTTCTTGGAAAATAATTTGTTTACAATTAAGTGAGTTAGTTTGATAAAATTAGTTGCAATTTAGTAATCACAGCTATATGGCACAACACTTTTACGTTTTAAAACTTAACCTTTATTTAATTATTTGTTTAATCTTTGACTTTTAACTATTGCACAAATAGGAACGTTGCGTTCTTATTCTTGCTGTAGTCGAATCATCACTATTGCCTTGAGATTGTTTTTCTTGTTTTTAATTTTTTTTTTTTTTTTTTTTGTATTTTTCACAAACATTCAAGACGTTCCATATTCTTGGACTTTCATTTCAAAGTTTAAAATTTTAGTTTTAAAAATATTTTTTGTTTTATATTTTACACTAATATAAATGACTGCTTTAACTTTTTATTACATTTCTTGTCTATATTGTAAGGTATATTAAATCTAGAAATTAGTTTGAGCTATTATATATTTGCACGTTTGACATTACTGATTGAACATCCAGAGATTGTCTAAAATTATTGAAATATTTTTACAAAACTCCTAACATCAATCATGAAATTAACATGAATGAAAACGGATTATTGATGATAAAGACCAACAAGACAAATCGCAGATTTTTATCTTGATTGATTAAGTAATTGGTCGTTATTTGTCAGCTGCAAAACAATGAATTACGGTTAGGGACACTTTACCCTATACTTTGTATAGACAACAGGTGGCGCTGTGGCACCTCACTGTGAGTCAGTTCATGACGACCTCACATCAGTGCAGCAGTGTTTGTGTGCGTGTAATAAATAAGAGTAGTGTTTGTGAAAGTTGCCGCAAACAGTGATTAATGAAACTGTTGCATTAGATCAGGACGATAATTGAAGTTATGATTACGGAAACGACAAAGTAAAAAGGAGCGGACGATCAGTGACCGATAAATTATACACAAGTGGATTAATACTAAATAATACCCTGATGGGTGTGTTCGTGCGTTTACATCGTTTTAAATCAAAGTTTAAAAAATAAATTCAAGTCAATGCTATGCGTCTGACTGTGTGCAGCTGCTGTTCCGGGAGACGATGATGTCCCTGTGAGGTCATCACCGGTAAATAGACACTGGGAAACACATTTAACAGTGTTGTAAAAAGGGGGCAGGGTCATATTTTTATTCCTCTTGTTTTGATCAGCAGGTGTTTCATCCACAGACTTCAGAGAACACACTCGGAGACATGACCATGGTAATGCACGCCAACACTTAGACACGCCAACACAACCATCTATGCCTGATGAGAAGACATGTCTCGGACACACAGACACATTAGTCACTCGGTCACAACAAGTTTCATTTAAAGTTAAATTAACTTCAGCTACTTCCCTTTTCTTTTGACTGGAACATTATCATGATGTTTGAAGAGTGGAGTGTAGTCATTCTAAAAAATCTGGTTGACCTAAAGGCATTTTAAGTACATACATCGATGAAGATGAAGCAAAAAAAAAAAAAAAAGTAACCTGTCTTCAACATTACTTCATCACCACCCAATTGAACCTTCAACCTAATGGTCAGTTCTCTCCTTCATCTTGTTTTATTACCATCAAGAAAAGAGACAGGGAAAGTGGAAATATGGAGGCGAGGAACAGGAAGAAGACTAAGATAGGAGGAGGAACCAAAAGGATCGGCAATAAGACAATTACACTGACAAAGAAGAATCAGAAGACTTAGCTCCAGCTCCAGCTTCAGCAGTGATA